TGCATGCGTCGCGTCGCGTCGGCGCCGTGCCTGCCGCCGTACGGCGCCGCATTTCACGTCGCCACCCTCTCCGTCGAGCGACACGCTCGGTGACTCGAACGCGTCGTCGGACAATCTCGCCCAGCGAGAACGGAATCGCGATCGACGATCGTGACGTGGAGATCACGCGGCTGTTCCGTGGCGATTGCTACCGATTAGTGGTGTAAAACCGCCGCCGTGCACGGCGAGTTTCGCGCACTACCACACAGGCGCGTATGAATGAAAGACGCCGCGGCGCTCGGGAACGAACGCGAACGCGACCACATTCCACCGCACCGGACTCACGACTGACTGAAAACGCCGGGCCAATCGTCGCGCGAGGCCCGTGCGCAGACTCTTCGCCGACGCGGTCCGCGCGGCCAATCAGCGCACGCCGTCGCCTGCGCTCGCGCGCCAATCGCGTGCACCGGCGGCACGGAATGCCAAATCCGATTACCTTCTCAGAATTTTAAACAAAGAAATCTTTTACGTAAATCCACCGTTAAATAAAGACGGATATATTGCAGGTAGATGAAGATGTTTAAAAAAAAATTGATTCCATGTTTACAAAGAATCTGGTATACTCGTTTTCACATACTTCATTATCATTTAAATATATAATATGTACATGATATATATGTATATAATATATAAAGTTTTATAGATATAGAAATCAATTGATTATTGAGAAATTAATGTTTGAAGAAGATCCTCGGGTGTTCTAGAAAAGAGACCATTGGGATTTTGATATAAATTTTTCGGATCATGGCAAGCATCATACAATTGCCTATATATAGCTCCAATTACTTCGAACGATCGTTTCTGGGTAATCGTACGATGGTTGTTGCTTTGTAGCAAACTTATTTGTGGTAACAGCAGGACATCCGGCATCACTAGAAATGCCTCCAGTTTGTTCTGTAAAGAATCAATACATTAATGTCGACAGTCGTATATTATTTTATGCATCTGAATCACTTACGGTAAACTCTTTGACACTGAGGGCATCCATACCGGGTATGGACGAAAGTGGTCCTTGATCGCGTCCTTGCAAGATCGTATAAATTGAGCCAAGATTTAAATGCGCTACCAACGAACTAGCTTGCTCCGACGTAAGTGTATCGATTTGCGCATCTGATTGTGCCTATATTATTACAATCAATTACAATATTAAATAGTAAAAATTTACAAGTTGGTAGTGAACTTTATAATATATTGAAATGCTTACAAGGATAGAACTGATAGAGTAAGTCGAAAGAAATATAATTATATATAAAAATTATTTTGTTTTGCATGTCATTTTATCAATAATATGTTTTAAGAACAATGAGATATAAACTATAATACAGTAGAGAAACAAAGAGCACAGTTCTTTGTTAGATGTGTTTTCTGTCCAACATGCAAGCTCAGCTGTTTTTACAGTGATAAGCGTTTCAGATTGCTATAGAGTTACACTACAAATGAGTGACGAAGATTATTTTAATCTGTTATGTCTGACTCTAATTTGTATAGATAAACTAACCAATCACCTGTAACCTTTCTAATCTCTGATCCATATACTCATACAATGCCAATGTGGATTGTATTTGATGCATACAATTGAGAAGATAAACGGCCATATCCACAGTTGGCAATCTGGATGCTGTTTCATTAACTTCTTGAAGTAATGGATCAATGATACATGACACAATCTATTGATCATAATATGATATAAAATAAACGCAAAAAAAATAAGATAATGTAGCTTGTATTTACAAAACATTAAAAAATAAAGATACATCAATAAACGAACAAATGTGATGATTTATTAAAATTAAATTTAATTATACAAGTTAATATAAACGAAGTTAATATCCATTTATATTAATTTCTTATACAATTAAATCTAATTTTAATAAACTGTTATCCTATTTGCTTGTTTATTTCTGTTTTTCTTTAATGTTTTTGCAAATAAATAATATATATTTTAAATATACCTGCAACATATCTTTCTCTCTGTCTTCAGCTATACTGGCGACAGACAATATTTCATTTAGAAGTGATAACAACCTGGAAACTGACGGAGCAGGAACTAGATCACTTCCAGGAGGTTCCGCGCGTTCTCCAAGAGCCATCCTCGTTTCTCTTTGCAGTCTGCTTAGAAAACTTTTTTCACTTGAAACTAACAAGTCTGATAGTGTCTGATCCAAAACACTATCGGGTATAACTTGTTCAGTAATAGCCCGATAAAATCTGATTAGAGTCGTGACCGAATATAATACTGTCGCTGGTGCCTCTGTAGATATAACATGTTCTATTCTAGATTTTAAAGGATGGCATAATCCTTCTGTGATGTTACTTAATGCCTGTTTCACTTGATCTGATACATCTGCAATAAATAAATCCCTGTACTTATACCGAATTTAAAATAAAAGAAGAAAATTTCTTACCTGTTTTGTCACAGCCTTTCACTAAAGTTAATATGTTTTCTTTTTCTACAGGAATTACTTGATGCAGCCACGCGAGCATATCGCCGACGTATCGTTTAGGATCATTGGCATGCATTTCTATAGGATTAGGCATTCCACCAAAACCTTCTCCTAGAGTTAGTGCATCTATAAAGGATCCTACCAAGGCAGTTCTCCTAGCTGCACAGTATTCATCCAAAATATATCTAGCAATATTCAGTACATGATAATTAGCTTATGATAAGACAAGTTGAAAGAAGTAACGCTTGCACTCAAAATGTTGTCTTACTTAAATAATACTGGTCTATCTTGTAGCTTGTTCATTGCCTTGATGAGTAATGGCGCCAAACGCTCATTTTCTATGTTTTTACACTGAGTCTGTGTCCAACGATATAATCTTTCAAGCGCAGATTCTTGCAGCAATGTCATTCTTTGCATGATATCTAGAGCCAATGTTTGATAACCAGACTGCATCAACACTCTACATTTACCATGAATATCCTAGATCCCGACAAAATAATTATTATGATATCTAAATAGAAGCAGTTATAGTAAGCACATTGAAGATAGGTAGCTTTTAATATATTACCTGCACTTTATTAACTACAGAGAAAAATTCTTCTGTTATTGGTGACTCTCTGGCAGATCCATGTAGAACAGTTAATTCAGATGGAGTCAATTGGAAATTTTTGATAAATGCACTTGCAACTTCTTGTTGCATGGATAATGTTTGACTGAGAATAAAAATAACTGATAAATTTTAGAAATTGCAATTGTATATCATCATATATACAGATATAGTTACCTTTCATTTTGAAGCTTCGCTGTCTGCTCAATCAGTTGCGATGTTTGAGCTTTTGTAACTTGCAAGCGATTAGTCATAGATTGCACAGCTGTATTCATTGCTAAAACATCCTGATAAACATCATCCAAAGAAGCCTTCACTTCTTTGAAAGCAGCCAGGAATTCTTCGTTTATCGCCAGACTCCTCCTCTCTATTTTACTACGTAGATTTCGACGGGAATTTAATGTGTTTTCGGTAAAAAATGTCGACAATTCCTTCAAAGCTTCCAAAGTGTCCTAAAATATATCACGCTCAAGATGGAATTATTCAATATTTGATTTTTTTACAACCGTCTGTAGAATGAAGTTTCCGCGTGATCAACTTGTTTATTCGTAATGTATACCTTATCATGCTCCACCCTGGACTCCAGTAGTTTGTTAACTCTCCGCACTAAAGCGGAATTAATGTTTTTCTCGCTCATCGCGATTGAGGATTTTTAAGTTTACCAGTAGCATATAACCTACAAAAAAAATCCCAACAAAAACATGTCAGACGGTACACGTCATTTGAGGATCCGAAGAATAGATAAGTTGAGATTACTTTACGATGAATTTCGGAACGCTGCCGATATTGAATATTGCAGTTTACCGCAATCCATCAATAATTTCGATAATCGAGATTATAGAATGACAGGACGCCCGGAATAGACATTAAGTATTGCGTGCTGCGTGACACAAAAATACTTTGATAATCAAAGTACGTTGAGAACTTCGTCTATTCGGGATCCAAGTGCATTTCAATGATAGGCAAAAAATATTCAAGTCTTTCCGGAGCCAACGTTATCCAGCGGATATCGTGACTCGGAACATCGATATCGGAATTTAGAACATCGATATCGTCAATGTGGAAAACAAACGGTGACAGCCATTCCGATGGTTTTCCGAACGCACAGCCAATGACATTTCACCACCCGCTGCATCACGAGCGAGGCGGAGCATGCGTATAAGTAACCTGTCGAAAAATGAAATGAGAACGCTCAATTCATATTATTATTGATGACAGTAACGATCTGTTTTTCAACATCGTTGAATTTGATAGCACTTTTCATAATAACAGTTGAAAGTTTTCGATTAGTCACGATTGGTTTCCATATACGATTCATACAAAACATACACATACACACATATACACTCGCATCGTACCATATGAGAAAGAGAGAGAAAGAAAAGAGAAGGAGAATTACTCCAGGTTGATAGGCACCATGCAGTAAGCGGTAATTCGATGCGTTTAGTTGCATTTGACTGTCGTGTGGATGTGTGAGGTTATTTTCTTCAATGAATTAGAGTAATTATGGGCTGGCTAATACGGTGTACCCTCGCGGTGTTGCTGGTGCACAGCATACAAGCGAACAGCGATGAAGCGCCGTTAACCAAACTCGGCGCAAAAACCGGACCGACCCTAAGATTCTTTTATTGGTAAGAATAACGATTCGCTTGTTAATTTTCACGGAAGATGGTCGCATTCTATAAGATAATGAACGCTTAACGATCGGTTTTAAATTACACGCGCGCTTAAACAAGATGCTTGTTAGATGTCTCAATGTCGTATCCAAAGACATTATTAAACTTATTTGGATTCTCAACATTGAGCTTGAAGTTATTAAATGAAACACAAATTTATTGTTTTCTGTTAGCTATTCGTGTGGTTATAAAAAAGCCTTCGAGCAATATGTAAGTATTCTTAAACAAAAATATCCAGAACTTCACGTGGAGGGCGAGAACTTCAACCCGCCTGGTTATAATATGTTAATTGCAAAAGTATTGGTAATGAACTTCATTTATTATTTCTGTATAGTTTATATGTTCCTGTTATGTCTCATTAACAGGTAAATTTGCATTTAGGGAACGTTAAAAATATTAATAATTGTTTTAATTGTAAGCGGAGTTGACTTTGGTCTGCCTTTAACATCGATATGGCAGTGGTGTATAAATAATCGTTTTTACTCTTGTATACTGATTTTCCTGATTGGTAATGCCATAGAAAGTCAACTGATATCGTCGGGTGCTTTTGAAATACATTTCAATGGTAAATACATTTGAGTTACTATAAATATCATGTGAATTCTTTGTATTTATTGTAATGTTTCAGATGTTCCTGTTTGGTCAAAGCTTGAAACCGGCAGGATACCACAACCATTGGAATTATTTCAAATAATTGACTTTCATTTAGATATGCAATTTTCAGAAATGGATGTAGGAAAGATCAAATTCCAGACATAAAACATAATGTTATTTCATACTTTGAAAATCAATAAATTTAAACTGTGTACCATGCCAGGAAGTTTGCTAATGTGATGAAAATATGTACAATATATTTGTTAAGTATGTAAGGTCTTTAATGTGTACATCTTATCATAGAACATGATTCCAATAAGACTACAAACATATAAGTGTAATTGAAATAAAACTGTTACCAGAATTTCTTATTACAAAATTTTTTTTATTAAGAAATGTCCTCTAGTTATGTATCTCATGTAAATTTCCATAATAGAATATATTATTATATAAATAATATAATAGAATATATACATTACAAAAACATTCTCTCTCGTTTTCTTTTCAAAATAAAAATTTCAGATTTTAATTCAAATATTATTTAATCACTCTGCTTATCTCATTGAAATCTGTTGAATGATCACTAATGAGCGGACGTGCTTCGTATGTACAAATAGTCACACCATGTTTGTGAGATGGCGCCCATTCTCCTTTGAGGCCGATGTAATAAATTTCAATTTGTTCCGTGTTACCAGTGAAATAAAGGCTTAAATGCTGTACCGATGAAAACTTGACTGGTCTAAAATATTTATATACACTTAATTCTTATACAGATTTTTAATATCTCATCCAAGCACAGTTTATATATAGCTATAAAAATTCTCAAATTTTATAAATATGAGAAAAAGTACCTTAGAGGATATTCATGGACCCCATGTGAATCTATAATCAACTCATGTTCCTGATCTGGACTAATATCTACTTGATCAAATAGCATGTGTGGCCGATTTTTATATCTATTAATATACATTAGTTTATTGAAATATTACGTTCTTTTTTACCTTTCAAATGTTAAATATAATTTTCTTTTCTATAATTTTTCTTTATTTTTGAAAAAACCTTGAAGATACTTACAGTTTAACTGATGTAGGTGAACATTCTTCGTTTCCAATTACAATAAGGCCTTTTAATTTTACATCACCCGTAAAACTATAAAAAATTAGAATGTGTGTGTGCGTTGTGTATGTTTTAAAAATTATATCAGAATACTTACGGTATGTTAAACAGAAGTTCAGCATCGATATCACTTTTGACATACTAAAATAAAATAAGATAAAATAAGATCAAAACAAGAATGGAAGATTTCATAAGAATATTTAATATCTAGAAATATTTGATCTAGAAAGTAATTATATAGCTTACATCTGATCTATTTAATCTTTCTTCCCATGTTTTGAAGACTTTGGAACCACTGCCTTCCTCATGCTCATTTAGGCATTCTATTCTATCTTTATCTATCTTTTCATATAAATTATAACCAATTCCTAATTCTGTTGTATCATGTGTATTACCACAATTACATCGATGCCCCATTATCCATATATGAATCCTATGAATAACAAAATATAAAGATGAATATAAAGATATAATTGCATATAAAGCATAAAAAAACTTTTTAAACAAAAGCTCAAATTCATTAAGTTAATAAATTGTATATATATATATATATATGATAATCGTAAATAACTACTACTATAATACTATTATGTAACAGCTGTAATTCTTGATACAAAATTATCATTCATATACATTGTGCAAATCAAAACAAATTTTTTTATTGTTCTGCTAAAAAATATATGAGTAATTCACTTCTATTTTCTAATATGATATTTAGAATATTGTCATTTACAAGGAAATGACTATCTACATTTAAAATATTCACGTACCTTGATTTATTTAGAAATGATGTTATCAAGCTGAGGTTAAGTTTTTGTTACGAAGATCGTCTTAATAATCGTGATGATTGCAAAAAAATAATATTATATGCACAGATAATAGATCTTCCTTTACAAGTCTAAAATTAAATTAATATAAAGAGAAATATGGAATTTAACTGTTCTGAAGAACTATTTACATTGAAGCTCCCTTTCCTTTGAGCTCCCTACTTAACCAGTCGGTAAACAAAGCTTTTGTCGTAGAACTGAAAATCGATACATCTATAATATTCTCATTTCAGATTTTCACAATATGAGTTCCCATTATTTTCTTATTCATTTAATTGTTATCGTTTTATCATTTGTACAATTTTTAAAATTTTTTAAATTTATATCCCTGGATTTCTTTGAAAATATTTATGAATATATAACATATTAAAATATACAAATGTATAAAATATGTAAAAGGGCTAAGATGAGAGAAAAATTGAGAACCACACGATAATCATAATAAATAAATTATACTTTAGTATTTAATTAATAATAAAATATTTGTAATTAAAATATACTTTATATATAAATTGCACACGAAATTATCGCATGGCACTTCTTTCTATTAGTCTTTTCACATTTCAATATTAAGAATAATTAATTTTATATTTAAAATAGACTAACTTTTATTTCAAAGATAATCACGTCTCAGTTTAAGTTTGATGTCAAACAAAAATATTAAATTTATAAAATTATTGAAAAGAATGTTTATGCAAGATAAAAAGTGGAGACCATAGAATGACAGATAAAAGCAAAGATCAGAGATTTAAAAACAGGTGATATTCATTTATAAATTCTATAGCATATGTACATTTGTTACTTTGCATATAGTGAATGAAATATATAGATAGAGTGCAACATAACATATAAATAAAACAATCTTTGTATGATCTATGTGTGTGTGTGTTTGTGGAATGCAATGTTATCTTGTGTTTGTGGATTGCAGTGTTATCTTTTATGTGTGTTTATCGACAGCCTCGTCGATTATTTTATTTAATTTCTGATTTTGCCAGTCAAGTGCGATGTTATCCAAGTGGTTGTCAAAATCAACCAGATTCCTATATTCTTCCGCCTTCAGTAACGAATACATCGCATCTGTGTGTGCAATGTCCTCCTCATAAATTATACTGCAACACAAAAGTTTAATATTTATGTGAAAGAACTTTGATTAAATTTTTTATTGGTAAAATAATTTTTCTCAATTTCAAAAATATATAATTACTTTGTCTTATCCTTTGGTTTCCATTTTCCCTCTATAAATTGTGAAATTCTCAATGGACTCGATCCCATACCTAGAGTTACTTCTCGATTATCCACCTGATAATAATAAAAATCAATAAAAATTGTAAAAATTGATATAAAATATTTCAATGTATCAAACTAATACCAACATACCACTACAAGCAGCGCATTATTAAAGTTCTCTGCAATTTTATCTGCTATTCTGTGCGCTGGTCTGTCTGTACTAAATGAAATACATAGAAATGAATCAGTATAAAATGGAAGGAAAAAGACATTAATAATGTTAAAGAAAAATATTAAAGTACCTTAAATCATTTATATTTTCATTGGCCAGGTAATAACCTGTTAGTATAAGGCCTTTGCTTGCAGCTAACTGGTCCACCTGTTTCAATATATAACTAGTGTAACAGGATGCCATAAAATAGTACAATTACTACAATTATTCTAACATGCCAAACGAAAAATTTCGCAATGAAAGAAGAAATGCCTAATCATTCACTATGCTGTTTCGTTTTTGTGGTATAGGTTAGGATATTGACATGTCCACGTCACACATTGATTCTCGCACATGTCAAAGTACATGCTTGAGGAGACACGACAGTAGGCGCGATTTCACGAAATATTCCACCAGAAATATCCGCGGCAATAAATGCCAGCCAAATATATTTACCAAAGTAAGCGCTATTTCCGCCATTGGGGAAACGTGTAGGCATATATGGAATAAAGGTATCGCATCCTCGATGTACAGATCCGACTTGCCGTCCTTGCTCTTTTGTTTGCCGAGCAGCAGGCCATTTATTGCACAATGCGGGTATTTGGCTGCGTGTAAAATAATTTTACAGTACGCACGGGGTGAAAAGAAAACATTCGTCATCGTCAAGGGTACACTGTAAACGTAAGCAGACGCGAGGAGACCGGAGTGAGTCAGTGTCGCCAACAGAGTTTACGATTGTCAGGACGGCGAACCTGAAATCCTATCTCCCTATATAACAGATTTGGCGCACGCATTGCAAAAAGAAGTTTTTAGACGTTCCCGATCCTTTTTATAAAAAAAAGCTCCCAAACATGTTTTGAAAAGATTGAAATAATTTTTTTAAGAAACGACGTATTATGTGTTTAATGTAACTAAATGAATCATTATGAATATCAACATGTTTGCAATTGTTATATATAAATATATTTTGATTATAAATTATTTATTATTATTATTATTAATTTACGGCAAACGTTTGGACATGCAAACACTGTTGTGTATTTAAAAAATTCGAAATTAGTTACACAAGTCATTTTTTAACAGACGAATATTGATTTAATACATTCGAATATTGATTTGATATTTGTTTAAGAGTGGAATATAGCTCGTGGCTTTTATTCGCTTTTTCTCGAAAAATGCTTTCAATTTCGTGAATGAGGCTGAAGTGAGAAAACAACTCACGAAAAAGCGTTAACGTCGTGTCGGCCGACAATCGACGTTACTCGAGATAACGAGATTATATCCTGCGATCTGGTAAACGGTTTTGAAAAAGATTACGAGGGACGACGCGTCGGCGTCGGCGTCGGCGTCGTTCTCGCGAGCGTCCTCGTGATTGCCAGTCATCGCCGTGCAGCGCGGCCAGGGCGCGTGGTTCCTCGCTCATTGTGATTTTAATAAGCCTTATGCAAATTACAAATGAAATTGTCAGAGGCAGGCCCGAGGTCCATTCTTCGTCGCTGATAGGAACAATTAGAGGAGCTTTGTCCGGCGACCGAGCGTTGTCCGGTCGGCCGGCAACTTGAGTTCGAACGGGCGAGAGAGAGAGAGAGAGAGAGAGAGAGAGAGAGAGAGAGAGAGAGAGAGAGAGAGAGAGAGAGAGAGAGAGACGACGACCGAC